GGCGCCGAGCTTGCCGCCGCCTGCCTTCCCGCGCCGCCGTCGCCCGGATCTAGCGCCGCCGCCGTGCGCCGCGGCCTCGGCCCCGCCTCCCCTGCGCCCGCGGTCTCCAGCCGCCTCCTTCGCCTCCGGTGGCCGCCAGCGCCGCCTGCCGGTTTCGCCTCGCCGGGGCTGCGCCGCCCCGTCGCCCCCGTCGCCTTCCCGCCGCCTCCTCCGCCTCCCCTCGCCGGGATCCGGCCGGATCCGGCGAGATCCGGCCCGGATCCGCCATCTCCGGCCCTCCCCGGCGTCTTCCCCGTCTACTCCGGCGAGAACCCCGGCCATCCTCGTCATCCGCGCCCGGGTCAACCCTCAGATCCGGAGGTGATTTTCGTCTAAGTCCCTGAAATATTTTGCATTTCCATGCCCTATTCAACGCATCATAACTTGCTGCATACTGCTCCGTTTTGTGCGTGTAATATGTCAAATTGGTCGTCTCAACGAGTACTTTATTTCATTCCATTGCATCATGTTTATTTGAGTTCATCTTGATGCCTGAATCATTGTTGCAAGAGTGCTATATGATGTTGTCTGCTGTCTGTTAACAGAACATGCTCATTTGTCATTTTTGCCATGTTTGATGTGTGCATCTTATGAGGTTGATGTCTACATGTGTTTTGTTCTACATCATGCCATCTTTACAAGGGTGTATGCCATGCATTTTTGTGATCAATGTGGTGACTAGAACAAGCATGCAAACTAGGCTTTGTGATGTTGCTTATTTCAGTCACTGTTCTGCTGTTATTTTTATGCCATGTATACTTGATGCTACAGGGAGATCCAAGCATATTTTGAGATACTTCAGTAAGGATGTTTTGAACATATGGTTATCCTCTATCCATTCATGCCCCTGTTTGCAATTATGGAGTAGTCTAGCATGTCACTTTCTTGCTTTATGTTTGCTAAAAAAATGTTTCCTGATAGATTGTTTACATGTTATTCAATTTTGCCAAGGTTGTTGTAGTTGATCCTTGCATACTATGAACTTGTTCTTGCCTTGGTTTGTTTCATAAACATTTCTTATTGCTGATGCTATGCTTATATTGTCATGAAATGACTTGTGGTGAGTGAATCAAGCTTGTTAAGTAGTGTACTTGCTGTTACTGTTTTGTTAGGCTGAATCTGTTATTTCGTGATGCTATGTAAACCTGCTGCTACAAGTCATTCTATGCATAATATGGAGATGTTCACTAAGGGTGTTTTGTTCTACATGTTATTCTCTATCCATCCATGCCACTGGTTGCAATTATAGCTTGCCATAGATTGTTGTAATCTTGCTTTAAAGTTGCTAAATAATGTTGCTGTCAGCCTGTTAACATTAAGTTCAGTTGTTGCCATGTGTTTTGCTAGTGATCCATGCACCCTATGAACTTACTCTTGCCATGTTTAGCTTCATAAATATGCCATCTTACTGTTGGTTTCCTTGTCATGCCATGTATTGCTCTGTGGTGAGTGGTACAAGCTCACCAACATGCCTACTTATCGTTGTTCCTGCCATGTATGAATCTGTCATATAACTTGCCATGTTTACATGGGTGCCATCATATTTTCTGATCCTTTTTGGCTCATGGTCAGTAAGGGACTTTTGTTCTATGCAATTAGTAGATTCATGCCATGCCTTTGTTTGCCATGATAAGTTCCTGTAGCATGTTGTTTGATAGCTCTAAACATTGCAACCTGATGTTATTTTCTGCAAAGTCTGAACTGTTATTATTTGCAGTCTTGCCATGTGTGTTTGAGCATGTTCTAGTGATTTCTGGAGATAGCTCAATGTTCATGTTTTGTAATGCTTTACCTGTATATCATGCCCATGCCTTTTGTTTTTATATTGTGGCACTGTAGCATGTAGTTTTGGTGCTTGCAATATGCCTAGTTGCTGTTTTGGACAGGTTGTTATATCATGTTTGAAGTGTATGTGTTGAACCGTTGCTCCCTTTTGAGTGTGCTCTATATAAAACTTGCTTAGAATTGCGTGTAGTTTCATATTACCTTGTTGCATCCATGTTTTGAGTGTGTTTGCTTGATGTTTGAATGCATTTTGCATCAATGCCATGGTTAACTTGTTTTGCTCATACCTTCTAGGCCGTAGCTCCGAATTAAATGTACTTTATATGTAACTTGACTAGAATCTCATGTAGATCATCATGGTGCATTTTAACTTGCTGTTTAACAACTTGAACATAAGGTTTATTCAGATCTGGACCAACTTCGAAATTTGCATACGAGGACTTACCGGAATTGTTATATGTTGTTTCCGGCCTCATTTAAACTTGCCTTGATGTGTTGCTCTTGTATGCATCATCTCTTGCCATGAGTAGCTTCAGGTAGTCTTGTCATGCACCATGCTTGTATGTGCATCATGTCTTGTCTATGTGTGGTGTGTTTACTATGTTGTGTGCTTCTTCTCGATAGTTCCCGTTTCGCTGCGATCGCGAGGATTCGTTCGTCTACGCTTGGTTCGTCTTCGTGGCTTCATCTTCTTCATGAACTCGTTCTTCTTCCTAGCGGGATTTTAGGCAAGATGACCGCTACCCTGGATCTCACTACTATCATTGCTATGCTAGTTGCTTCGTTCTATCGCTATGTTGCGTTACCTATCTTTTGCTCCTCAAGCCTCCCAAATTGCCATGAACCTCTAACCTTTGACACCCTTCCTAGCAAACCATTGTCTGGCTATGTTACCGCTTTGCTCAGCCCTCTTATAGCGTTGTTAGTTGCAGGTGAAGTTGAAGATTGCCCCATGATGGACATGATTATGTT